ATACCCTGTAGGCTAAGGAGTATAAGAAGGAATTTTCTTGAGGAAGAGCGGGGATCGCGTCTAATTAGCTTACTAAGACGATAATCAATAGTTGATCCGAGAAAATGATCCGCAGCTAACTGATGAAGCTGGAAACTGTCCATGACAGAAGGGAGAAGACTTTATCTAAACTAATTAGGAGACATGACTTATCATTGAGGGGTATCATCTCCAAGTAAGACAAGGTCCATATCACCCATCAATATGTGTCTTAGCTTCTGTTTTCTTGGCATGTTTTGTCAAGAGAAAGTGTTGTACATCCCCAACATAACCATGTGAGATTGCATTTGGCCCCATTTTAATGTCTTGAGTTTCCATTAAGATGGCTACTTAAACTTCCAGACTCTTATTAAATATGCCAAAAAAATGTGAAAATGACACCAAATTTGCTTTTATTAGTGCTATAATATTAGGATATTAGTAGTATTTGGAGAAGTTACATCTAATCATTAAATGTAAAATTGCTAAACATGTACGTTCATCACCTCAATTAGTGAATACCTAAAAGTAATTAACACAATTACTGAACTCGACCCATACCTACTCAGCTAAAGTTTATTTCAGTTCAGTTATAGTTAGTAAAGAAATCAGGAAGCTTGAACACTCAATCACTCAACAAGGTTTGCTCATACATGTCGCTAACTTAATGGAAAAAGTAACATGTTTATAGTTAGGATTTTGATTATATACATTGTTCGAGTATATAAAGAATTTTGACACTATTAGAGTATTTACTTGTTATGCATGTTTTCACTATAATTTAGTGGTTATGTTATCATGCTTTAACATGAAAAGTTACGTATATTATAAGTCGATTAATCTGATAATGTAAAATTACTCTACACGGTAAGTGCATAGAAATGTAATAAATTTCTGTACAATATTATCAAGAAATGTTAAGGAGTCTGTGAAATTGTCATTCAATAAACAATGTATTTGAAAATTTCATAGTAGACCACGAAAAGCGACTTCAAATTAATGTGATTTTGACTAAGTTCATCAACATGAATAGTTCACATCAAGGAGGATGCTGGGCACGTGACAAGAGCATGGCTCCTCTCTCACATGCCTCTTTCTTGCAATGCTATATTGAGACATTTGATAAATCCAGACTCTCTCTTTTTTTCTTTTTGGTCACTCCAAGTTGATACACTCTGATAATTGAATCTCTCTGCTTTAATAATTGTTATTATGCTGTGATTTTGGCCTTAACTGTGTTTGAACGGACGGTTCAAGTTGTTGGCTTATTTTAACTTTAACCATATATTCGTGTATCTACTTATTTGTATTTGATTCCTCTTAATAAAATTTTTGACTTCGCTACAAAAGTTTGGAGGGGAGACGGGGGAGAAGGGTCGATGGGGCCGTTTTCACTTTTCAGATGAGATGATCAGTTAGGAGGCTTTTCAAATCCTCTTTTTTCAATGTGATATATGATAAACAGTTTCAACTAGATATAGGATTTTTAGTTAGTAGATTAGATATGATGTAACATTATAATTATTATATCTTGTGGCAATATGAGCAATCTTAATAATATTCAATTATAAGAGGTATTTCTAATCAACCAATAAAATTAATAACAACAACAACAACAACCCAGTAAAATTCCACTACTGTTGTCTGGGGAAGGTAGTGTGTACGCAGACCTTACCCCTATCCCGAAGAAGTAGGGAGGTTGTTTCCGAAAGACCCTCGGCTCAAGAAGACGAAAACACAAAGACACAATATCAGTACCTCCAATAGAAAACATAGGAAAAATAACATCATGAAAATGAGAAAGTAGATGCAAAGGAAAAACGATAGACAGTGTATAGACCCGGCGCTATGAAAAACGAAATAATAGTAAAATAGTAGTAAGACACAACATTATCACTAGCTGACTTCGGAAAAAAAACCCTACCAGACTAGCCTCACAAAGGGACGAAATAAGGAAAGACTCAACTATCTCCTAACCTACAACCTTAATACTCGACCTCCACAGTTTCCTATCAAAGGCCATGTCCTCGGAAATCTAAAGCCTCGCCATGTCCTGCCTGATCACCTCTCCCCAATACTTCTTAGGTCGTCTTCTACCTCTTCTCGTGCCCTCCAAAACCAGCCGCTCACACCTCCTTACTGGAGCATCTGGGCTTCTCCTTTGTACGTGTCTGAATCATCTGTGTCTCGCTTCCCGCATCTTGTCATCAATGGGAGTCACGCCCACCTTCTCCCGAATATCTTCATTCCTAATCTTATCCATCCTAGTGTGCCCGCACATCCACCTCAACATCCTCATTTCTGTTACTTTCATCTTCTGGATGTGTGAGTTCTTAACAGGCCAACACTCAGCTTCATACATCATGGCCGGTCTAACTACCGCTTTGTAAAACTTAATTAAACATCAAGCAAATTAATTAAACATATAGCGCACCAATCGATCGAAAAATTCGTAACTTTAGGGTTGAAGTTTGCTCCCACTGTTTCCAGCCTTGAATCTGAAGAACAAAATATGAGGAATTTAGAAATAAATAGTTTATCTATATGCCTTGTCAAATATGCATCACTTCCTTTTCTTTGGTTTCCAAACGACTTTTCCATATGGTCCCTAGCTGATGACAGACTTCAGATTATTAATAATCCTTTGCTAAATTCCTCATATTTTGTTCTTCAGATTCAAGGCTGGAAACATTGGGAGCAAGAGACTTCAACCCTAAAGTTACGAGTTTTTCGATCGATTGGTGGGCTATATGTTTAATTAATTTGCTTGACGTATCTATATACGCCTTTGTCCAAACCAAAAATCAACGAAAAGGTGGAGGCATTTTTTACTTACTTGTATTCTATGGAAATCGAAATCCTTGTCGAAGATGGTCCACGGACAAAGGCGGGCCTATGTGTAACCTTGAAGAGTTATGAGACCCCGTAAACTGTTGTAAAATCTTATTTATGTATACGTATATATTATGAAAATAATTAATTTAAATCACTTTGTACTCTGGATATTAAAAATCTTTAAGGGCATTAGTTGAGCAAAACACTGGTGCCCGGCCTCTTGCGTTAAAATCTTTGGTCAGCATCAGTCCACATATAACAATATATAGTTGTCTAGGAATGGCATGAGAGTACGTACTGCAGCATCTTCAAAAGAAGCTGTACGTAGTAGGTGCTGGTCGTCCTAAAATAATGATTGAAACGAAATATACTTGTTCATGTTCATGTCAATTTAAATCTTACGTGAAATCACAAGGGTAGTTACTTATTAGCCATAGGTATGAAACTTCGAACCATGACACATGTCCTCTATAACATTGAATTTCCATGCCGCTGTTTTCTACTTCAAGTACTATATATGTTTATTATAGCTACTTATCGAGTTGACAAGGCTTCAAATCATTTTAGCAAAGCATATAATTGATTAGTTGTCGAAATGTGTTTATTACGAGTATTTAATTAAAGGGTTTATTCCCATTTAATTAATTTAAAAAATTATTCTTACTTTCCTAATGTGTCATAATCAAGACGACATGCGTAGACATGAAAGATTATATAACAAATAGTAAATGAGAAAGAAATCGAAGCTAGAAAAGAATCTTATTCTTGAAATAGCATTTCAAGAGCCAGTGGCAGACGGGTGAGTAACGCGTAAGAACCTGCCCTTGGGAGGGGAACAACATCTAGAAACGGCTACTAATATCCGTAGGCTGAGGAGCAAAAGAAGGAATCCGCCCGAGGAGGAGCTCGCGTAAATAAGTTATATTAGAATCATATTGCTCTTTCTAACGAGGAATTAGAAATATTTTTGATAAAACTTATTCTATTAAAAAAAGAAAGAATACATTTATCTCCGAGAGTCAACTAGTAATTGATCTTGAATGCAAATTTGCAATCATAAGTAATTTAAGCAAGTCCTTTTCAAAATTAGTTTTTGACCACCTTTTACCTTTGAACTTCCCACTTATATTTAGCGTCTTCTCTAAAATCACTTTGAAAATATCTCTATAACATATATACCTCCTCTGTCTTAAATTATTTGTCGTGATTTTTAAAGTAGTTGTCTCAAATTGTTTATCATTTTAGAAGTTCAAGAAAAAATTAGTTATTTTTTTCTGTTTTACCCTTTGATAATTATTCTTGAAGATAGAGATGATATATAAATAGAATAAATATTCAACAAAGAGAGATTATACGTTAAGACATAAATAAAATAAGGGTAAAATAATCAAAAAAATTCCTAATTAATATTTTCTTAAAGGACGTGTAAAAGAAAATACGATAAATAATTCGAGACAAAGAGAGTATTAATTTGGGATTTCATTCGATAACGACCTTGACATGGATTTGATTCACATCTTCCTGTGTGTCTATGTCTCCATTGATCGAAAAGGAGAGATGTAACATGTTACTTATTAGCTTAAACTCTTATAAAATATTGCAAATTAACAAGAAGAAATTAAAGGAGATTTCTTACTATTTTTCAATTGAAATGCATGTCGAAGGTCACCTTAGTAGGGACCTAACTGTTTTGATTTTCAAGCCCTCCAAAAAACATTGTGCACATCAACTGATTGTTTGCCACATGAAATTTTAGACTTCCTTTTCAATTGGTTTATCAATTATAATTAATCGAGTTTCAAACCATGCGTCACTAATTCTCGAAATTTCTCAATTTCTTGATATATATAAAAAGACAAGAATCGTACCAACAGCAGACATGGCATATGGTTGGTGTTTTAAGAAATATTTTTTCTAACCTCAGTATAGTAATTCGTAAAAGAGCTATATACACAAATAGTGAATACAATCATGCAAAGGTTTCTCATGCAAAATGCTGATATTGAATCTATTGTCACCCCCGCATAAGGGCCCTCATGCTATTCTCCAAGTACATAAAATTAGCTACATGATTTGACATCTTTAAATAAATTGTCCAATTTTTCCAATCTATGTTGTCTTTCTATAAATAATGATCGAATTTGTATAAAATCCACAAAACATGCAGATATATCTCTATAATCAAAATTTTAGAACGTCAAAAATGGTTGTTTGTAACCAAAAAACGCATTGGTTCTTGGTCATTTCCTTCTTGTTCTGCTTCTTCTTGATCACCTGTCAAGGTAAACAAAATCTCCTTATTTATTTATTTCTAGTTATCTCTTATTGGACGGAGAAATAATCCAGTTTTCTAGAAAGTATATATATAGAGATCTTGTCATTTATCTAATATAGAGTTTTTATATTAGTGTTCATATTCTTCGGTTTTATTTTCTATTTTTGCAGCAAGGAATTTACGAGTAGATCCTTATGAAGTTCAAAAGAGTGACCAAGAAATTCTTGTAAAGAATGAAGAGCAATCAAACTGTAAAGACTCGGTAGCAATAGACGTAGATTACACTCCGGCCCGAAAGAAACCTCCTATTCATAATTAGCTAGGATGGAAAAAGTTTACAAACTTAAATTTTAATATCCCGAGACGAATCCAAAATTTGAAGTTTGTGGATTCTGTTTTTATATGTGTTATTTTCTCTTGCGCATATATAGTCCGGGCCAGACGCAGTGAACTTTTGTCAAGGTTTTTGAGAATTTTTTTGGGAGTAAGATGAATATCGATGAGATTATGTACATATATATACATCTTTTGATGGATTATTTACGGGCTTTTACATTCATATGACTTTATGAAGTTTTTATGGAGATATACGAAGCTTCAACTAATAATATTGAGAGATGTTTATTTGTTACTATTTGATATTTTCGCTAATTCAGAATTATTAAATACTCCTCTGAATTTCGCATCTATGTTATGAGCAATGACTGCATTTTATTTGACTATTTCAGATGTATTTTAATTTCTCCTTTGTTGCATATATACTTATCTTACATTTTTTACTTAGCAACAAGATAATTGAATGGTTGACTGTTTATTATCTCTTGCTATTATTTTGTTTGGAATTGAGAGAGATAAAATAAGAGGAAAGTAAAAACTGAAAACAAACGCATAGACAATTAAAGAGACGGCTATAAAACTTCAAACAGAATTCAATTGGACAAGGACACAATTGTTCAAAGTTAAATATAATCTTACAATTCCAATTATAATGCAATTATAGGTGTCGAAACATAAATTTGGAAGGCTTTATTTTTCCAAAGGAACAGATATCACACACTCACACCGATGAAAAACTATAAGCTTAAGGGGGCTTAATAGATAAAAGAGAAAATTGAGGGGCTTGGGCAACTACTTTAGTTTATTACATTCAAAAGTTCCCAGCGCCCTTTTTTGCTATTTCCATTTTTAAGAAGAAAATAATAGTAGTTGCGCCTGAATTCTAATCAAGATTTTCATTAAACTCTTCTTAGTTCAATATTATATAAAATAAATTTGACAAAAAGAAAAAGATTATCTAGCACTATAAATCTCTATATTTTTTTACTGGAGTCCATTACTCAAAGGGTCGCTCAACTATCCGAAATTACCTATTAAAGTCATTTTTCTTTCATTTTTAACAACAAAGTCACTCAATTATGCCTATAGCACTCAGAAGGTCATTCAATTAGATTTCTCAAACTTTTGATTACAAATATGTATTTTACGCTCTAAATTATCAACTTTTTTCTTCTTTTTATTTTTCTATTTTTTAATATTATGATTTTTTTTCTCTTTTTAATTTATTTTATGTACTTACCATAGAATAAATAAGTTTTATTTTTAAATTAAAAAATAAAATAGTGTTTAAGCGTATATAATGTTGGAATAATAAAATATTGAGCATAGTAAAATAATTAATTAGAACAATTTGTACCTTTATTTTATTTCTTCACTTGTTTTGCAACCTTTAATGGTAGATTATATTTCAGTAATTTATTTTATTTTTGCCGCCTGTTTTCGGGATAGTGCATGCGTAGTGACTCCTAGATTATATTGTATTTGGTGAACAATGGTAGGTTAAGGTCTTGTCCTTGGGAGTGCCAGCGCGGGGAGGGGGTAAGAGGGTAAGAGGGCTAAGTGGGCTACTAGGCTGAGAGTGGGGTCTTGAAACATAGGAACTTTAACTGAAAAATCTGGAGAGTTAGCGAAGATTCTCGAGAAAAGAAAGATCAATATAGCTTGTGTACAGGAGACTAGGTGGGTAAGAGATAAGGCGCGGGATGTGGGCAGTTTCAAACTTTGGTATTCTGGGAGGGTGGGGGCAGGAACGGGGTAGGTATCTTGGTTGATATGGACCTCTGGGAACTAGTGGTGGAGGTTAGGAGGGTGAATCACAGGCTGATGACTATTAAGCTAGTCGTTGGAGGTTTTACTTTGAACATACGCAGTGTATACGCACCCCAAACAGGCTTGGATGAGGAAGTCAAGAGGCGTTTCTGGGAGGATTTCGATGAGATGGTGCGTGGTATCCCCCATATTAAGAAGCTTTTCATAGGAGGAGATTTCAACGGACACATTAAAGCGACGTCTGAGGGGTATGATGATGTGTATGGTGGCTTTGGTTTTGGAGATAGAAACGAAGGAGGAATGTCTCTTCTAGACTTTGCTAGAACATTTGATTTGGTGATAGCAAACTCGAGTTTTCCGAAGATGAGGGAGCACTTGGTCACCTTTCGGAGTTCGGTGGACGAGACTCAGATTGATTATTTACTTTGCAGGAAGTCCAATAGAGGTATTTGCACGGATTGCAAGGTCATCCCGAGTGAGAACCTCTCGACACTTCATAGGCTCCTGGTCATGGACCTTGAGATCATGAGGAAGAGGAGGAAGAGGGCGATGTATAGCCAATATATGATCAAGTGGGGAGCCTTGGTGGAAGAAGCGCAGGAGTTGGGGGTCAAACTGGTGATTATGGAGGCTTGGAGGAGTAGTGGGGACGCAAGCGCTATGTGAACCACGACTGCATAGTGCATTAGGGAAGCCGCGGATGAGGTATTAGGGGTCTCAAAGGGTTACTCTGGTGGTCACAAGGGAGACTGGTGGTGGAATGGAGAGGTGCAAGGAAAAGTGAAAATCAAGAAAGCAGCGTATCTGAAGCTAGTGGAAAGTGTAGACGAAGAGGAGAAGAGGGCGAATAGGGAGCATTATAAGTTGGCTAAGAAAGAGGCAAAGCTAGCAGTTATGGTGGCCAAGACTGCAGCTTTTAGTCATTTGTATGAGGAACTCGAGGGCCGAGGTGGGGATAAGAGGTTGTTCAGGTTAATCAAGGCGCGTGACTTGGACCAATTGAAGTGCATCAAGGACGAAGAAGGTAGAGTTTTGTTAGATGAGGGGCTTATCCGTCGGAGATGGCAGACCTACTTCTATAACCTCTTGAACGAGGAGGGAGAAAGGAGCATTGTTCTGGGTGATTTGGAACTCTTCGGGAGTCGTTGTGACTTTGGGTATTGTAGGCGGATTAGAATTGATGAAGTTGACGGGGCTATGCATAAGATGAGTAGGGGCCACGCGACCGGGCCGGATGAAATTCCGGTGGAGTTTTGGAAGAGTGCGGGCAAGGCAGGCTTGGAGTGGCTCACTAGGTTATTTAATATCATTTTTAGAATGAAGAAGTTGCCCGAATAGTGGGGGTGGAGCACGATGGTTCCTGTATACAAGAACAAGGGTAATATCTAAAATTGCAATAATTATCGGAGTATCAAGCTGCTTAGCCATATTATGAAAGTCTGCGAGAGAGTGGTAGAGCTAAGAGTGAAAGAAGAGGGTTTCTATTTTCAAGAACTAGTTTGGGTTTATGCCGGGACGTTTGACTGTAGAAGTCATCCACCTTGTTAGGAGATTGATGGAGCAGTATAGGGAGAGAAAGAAGGACTTGCATATGGTGTTTATTGACTTAGAAAAGGCGTACGATAAAGTTCTGAGTGAGGTTTTGTGGAGATGTTTGAACTATGTTAGGTTGATTAAGGACATATGGAGTAAAGACCCCGGATGAGGACGTTGAGTGGGAAGTCGGACCATTTTCCTATTATGATGGGGTTGCATCACGGGTCGGCACTTAACCCTTTTTTGTTTGCTCTGGTGATGGACGTACTGACACGCCACATCCAAGGGGAGGTGTCGTGGTGCATGCTATTTGTAGAGGATATTATATTGATTGACGAGACGCGAGACGGTGTGAACGCGCAATTAGAGTTATGGAGGCAGACCCTGGAATCTAAAGGTCTTAAGTTGAGCGGGACCAAGACAGAATACTTGGAGTGTAAGTTCAATGGCGAGACTCAAGGGGGGAAGGAGAGGTGAGGCTGGACTCGCAGGTCATCCCTAGGAGAGGTACTTTTAAGTTCCTTGTGTCTATTATTCAGGGGGATGGGGAGATTGATGAAGATGTCACATATTGTATTGGAGCTGGATGGATGACATGGAGACACACTTCCGGTGTTTTATGTGACAAGAAGGTGCCACCGAAATTTAATAGTAAGTTCTACAGAGTGGTGGTTAGACCAACGGTTGTATGGGGATGAGTATTGGCCAGTCAAGATCGCTCATATCCAGAAGATGAAGGTAGCAGAGATGAGGATGTTGAGATGTGTAAGCACGTGATTTTTGCCCTATATGAGAATTACTCCCAAAAACTCAAAATAAAACAATTTTCCTTTGTGTGCAATTTTGAGAATTTTCGTGGCATTTTTGATAATTATTTGTATTTGTCCATGCATGTTTATTTGTTAAAATTAATAAAAAAGTACAAAAATATGTCGCATTTTCATTTAGGATTTAATTCTACAATTAGGAGCAATTGAGTTTGTTTTACAAGAACAAAAAATTACAAAAATATGCATCGTTTGCATTTTTAGCATTCAATGTCAAATTGTGCAATTTT